CGGGGGGAGGATGAATGAAATTGGAAATGAAAATGGTTTGGAGAAGTACTCACCTGTGCAAAGACTTGGGAAGTCAGGTGACAGCAGATGTAGTGTACTGCAAGTGGTTCATTAGACTGGTTCTCTCTACGGGCTCATTCCAGAATGACCTGTTGTACACTTATTATACTGAGATAACCTATCACTGTGGATTCGACCACTGAGCAGAGACATTGTTCTCACTGAATGGTATTTATAGATGATTCTCCAACAGTTTTGCCACCTCTGGCTGTTCCACTCATAAGCCTAAGTGGCAGCACAGTAGGGTTGGTCCAGCAAAAGCTGACTGAAACTATTCTTATAGTTTTATTTCTCTTTCACTCCAATTTTCAGGAACTTTCCACTCAATAGGCCTCCATTATGGAATACTCTCCTTTGTCATCTTATAAGACAACAAAGTTGTCTTATTTTCCTTCTTCTTTACATCAAGTGGCTATTCCTACTTGTCTAGGTCCTCCTCCTATACCCTAGCCCTAAATATTGGAGTTTCTCAAGACTTATTTCTCCCTAGGTATGCTCATTAACTTCCAAAGCCTTACATGCCATCCACTTTCAGGAACTCCAGCATGTATACGCCTGGTCCTAACCTCTCCTCTGAACACTAGGTTTGTGTCAATTGCTTACCTGACTTCTCTACTTGGTTGTCTTAAGAGTATCTCAAACACATGAGGTTCACAACAGTATCCTCAACGTCTCCCTCCTGCAGCTTCCATTTATAATAAATAGCTTCATTATTCACAATGCTTTTCTAGCAAGAAACTAGTACTTTCTTTCTCTCACTTGCTGCATCTAATCCAACAGCAGGTCCCATAGGCAGCACCACCAAAGTAGGTCTCCATCCATTTCTCTGCATTTGCACTGCTGCTAACCTACTTTAAGCCTCGATCACCTTTCACTTGGAAAACTGGAATGCCTTCTCACTGTCCCCATACTTATTTCCTCCCAACACGCCTTAACTTCTCCCACCCAACTGCCAAAATGAATTTGCAAATTGTAAATTATATCACAGCTGTCTCTTGCTTAACATGCTTCTATGATTTCCCGTTCCTCTTAGAATAAAATTTAAACTCCTTATGAAGAATAAACAGTTTGCTGTATCATTCCTGAATATTTCTCCAACTTTATTACTTATTCCGTTTTTTCTTACTCATTATTCTTCAAACACATTGGCCTTTTTTCACAACCTGTAACACATCACGCTCTTTCTTATTCCAAGACCTTTTCATTAGCTTTCCTAGAACATTGGATTTCTGGCTCCTTCTCACCCTCTGGGTGTCACAGAGTCCTTTCCTGATGACTCCAGTTAATAGCGTTCTCCCTGTTGAATATACCGGCACCTTCTTTAATTCTCCCAAAGCTCAAATGCATTTATTTGCTTGTTGTTACTTGTTTTCTCCCCTAGTAGACTGTAAGCACCATGAGGGTAGGGCAAGTACAATGCCTGGCACACAATAAATAGTTCTAGAATGGATGGCTAAATTATTAAAGTTTATAAAGAAGATATTACTGAAAGTTTTTGAAAAATTTTTAAGTAAAGGGAAGTCAATGTAAATGGCAAAGCAAAATATTTAAATACCAATGCATTTTGACCATTGTCTGGATAGATGCCAACTTAACTTTGTGGCTGGATGTGATAAATGAGCCAATAAATGGAAAACAGTCTCCTATTTCCTTGCATATAAATTTGATTATTAAATTACTTGCTGTGAGGAGCCATTGAGTTATTCTCAGTAATATCCTAAGTCAAAGGCAGAATGCCTTTCTCTGCAATACAGATTAAATGATTCCAGTTATGTCAAATTGATGGTAATTCTTACTAACCTAGGGTCAGTAAGAAACATGGACGTTTGAAAAGTTCATGACTCCATGGCACTGGCACTAGCAGGTCTCTTTTTCTTACTTTGTTGTACTCCAGATTATCTGCCTCCAAAAATGGACAACTTTTTTTGTTCTTGAGTAGACCTCACTTTAGGTGAACTTTTGTTTTACTGGAGAAGTCAAAATATAATCAATTTAGTAAGTATTCTTTGCATATGTAGCTCTTAGGGGGCACCAATTCTTTAACTTCACTCTAGTCTACAGAACACAGAAATAAAAGAGTCATCCAAGAACTGTCCATTGCCCTTGAATGACAGTCCATTAACCAGGTGACCTGTAAACACGTCCTGGATTCAGTTTACAATTCTCAGTTGGAATTTGTGGGGAAAAAAAAAAAATGGGAAGGAGATTTTATTTAAAAAAACCTCAATCTACAAGTTCTTTTAGAAGATCCACCATGTCTAAAGCAGTATGCTTGGTACTCTGAAGACTATAGTAATGAAGCAGAAGTGATTTCTGCTCTCAAGGAATTCGCAGTTAAGTAACGGGTTTATTTGATACATAACTACATATCACAAGGTAGAGGACAAACAGTTCCATGATAAAGGTGAAAAATAAGGTAGTATAGAAATTCAGAGGAGAACATGACTTTCACTTGGGGATATTAGAAAAATCTTCACAGAGGTGTCGTCGCTTTCCCTGAGCTTTGAAAATTAAGCAGGCCCTGGATGTGTATGTGTGAGTGGGGAGCAGGGGTGGCATTCCTGTCTCAGCAAAGGCATGAAGTCAGAAAAACATGGGAAATGTACTGGGAACAATGAGTAGGTCCATTGGTTAGGTTAACAAGTTTGTCAAAGGGGAGAAGAGGAGAGAAGGGAGGCTGGAAAAGTAGCTTGGGAACCTAACATAAGGAAGGCTGAAGTAGGTGAACTCACCCCATAAGCATGAGGGAGCCACACAGCACTAGATCTCAAGGCTGTGATGTGAGTAGAGTTGTGCTGTGGGAAGCTGTGAGCAAGAATATTGGATAAAGACGTGATAGAAGGTTTCTCTAAGGTTTATGATGGTGATGTGAGTGGAACTTGTGGAGGATTCAACAGGATCTGGCAATCTTTAGATGAGGGAGTAAGGGAGATTCAAATGTGATTCAAAACATCTTCAACTGGTTGACTGGAAAGACAGTTGTGTTATTAAAAGAAATGGACAATACCAAAGAGTAGCTTTTGGAAAGGAAATTATCTCTGCAGGTCTAGAAGTATCAATCTCACGTGCTAGCAGAGCACAAAGTCGGGAATCACAAGAGTGGAATTTAGGAGACATTTAGGAGCTGGAGATGCAGCCTCTGGTCATTATGGTTACCTATGATTTGATTAATTTTTCAGAGGAGACATTATAGAGAGATAAAAGAAGATGATTAAGGATAATCAGGGTCAGAAAAAAAAAAGCTGAAGAATAAATAGATAAAGAAGAAATGTTGCAGAGATAAGGAAATTCCAATGTCATGAAAACCAATATAAGAGAGACTTTTTAAGGAGAAAGTGCTCGTGAGTGTCAAATGTATACCTTCAAACTATGCAGCAGTTAAAAAAGATAGAAATTAAGAAAAGCCTTCTAGATGTCTCAAATTGATGGTCATTGTTTATTTTCCAAAACGAAATATAGAGGCAATGTGACACAATGAAAAAAGAGTGGGCATTGAAATCAGAGGAACTGGAGTCAAGTTTTGATCCTTCATGGTTGAGCTGTGTTATTTGGGGCAAAATTGTTTCATCTCTCTGAGCTTCAGTTTCTAGACTGTACAATGGGCATAATACCTGACTCGAAGGGCATAGTGAGATTAAATTGAATAAATCAGCATGTGGATAAGAAGAGGCTGTTGGAAATAGGTCTGTTAATCCAAGTCTCTTTTGCATTTGCCTCCTGTTTGCCTTCCATTAACTTCCAGGTGATCATGTGTTATGGAAAAACATCACCTGGGTTCATGGGTGGTTAGATTAAAATTAATCATAGCAATGAATTGCAAACAAATATTGGCCCTTAATCCCTCCTTGTGCAGAGCTGAGTGTAGGAGGAGGCAGATGAAACAGATTTACTTGTGAAGGGCCTTCCAAGCAAGCGGTCAAGACAGAATGGTGTCAGCAGATCCAGCGGAGCTGACCAGTCTGAAGGACGATTTTGTGTGTCCCTGGGAGTAGTACAGGGACCACCCTGTCCATCATACTTGATTTTGTATTCCCTGGTGCCTAGCAAAATGCTCTGTTCATAATAACTACGCAGTAAAAGTTTGCCAACAAGTAGCCGTTTCGTTTATTCTGTTTGGAGAAGTCTGGCTATAAGATAATGCACGTAAAAGAAAAGGAATAAAGCATGGACTGGAAACAAGAAATTAAAATGGAAGATGATGCAATCTAACGGGGTATTGGTGGCAAGCAACTAGTTAGGTGCATATGCCAGTGTATAACTGTCACAAATACAATGTTGTATGTCTATCAAAAGATAAACACCTCAAAATCCAGGAGCCAATGACTGAAACAAAAGGAAGAAAAGGGCAAGATGTAAATCCAAGCCTTGTGCTGTTTTTAACTTCTATCCAATAATAGAGAGACACCATTACTTAAACTTCTATCTGTTCTTATTAGTAAGTAGAGAGGTACAGAGATACAGTAATATAGTACTGGATGCCATTTGTATGAAAGTTAACCTCTTGTTTTTATTAGTAAACAATAGGAGAGCAATCAATGTAATGTGGCAAGCAATGGTAACACTTGACTAGCTTGCAAATTGGTCTGGGTGTCATGGTGCGTACAATGAAGAAAAGCACAAGACTCCATACAGATAAAAATGCAAATGAGGGAGTATTTTGTATCAAGAAAGGATGGTGAAATTCCATTTTAAATTGTTTCAATGTTTCTTTCTCTTGTTCATCTCCTATGCTACATTCGAATGTATTATGTTAAGCTAGAACTCTGTTGTGAAGTTCTTTTAAACAATTATGTGCCAAATTGGCTATGCATAAAGGGAAAGTGTGTTTGCTTGAGAGGAGATGAAATCCTCTGGTTTACACATTTCTTTCTTGAAACCCGTGATTCAGCTGGATATTTACCCATCTCTTCCTCTCACCTCACCCTGTGATTGCTCCACAGGCCATGGCACGTGTTCCTGTGGTCGCTGCGTTTGTGAGAAAGGATGGTTCGGAAAGCTCTGCCAACATCCGCGGAAGTGCAACATGACAGAGGAACAAAGCAAGAGTTTGTGTGAATCAGCAGATGGCATATTGTGCTCTGGAAAGGGTGAGTATCTCCCGGAGCTTGGACTGCATCCCTGTTCTGACACGTGGTTTGCACAGCAGCACGTGCAACCGTCTTTCCCAGACTGCACTTGGTGTGAATGAAAACCACTTGGTCCTCTGCTTGTACCAGATTCTAAGCTTGAAAGTTAACCATACGAGGTTTAGGTTCTAAGAAAATGAAGTGCATGAGATGGGTTTCATGCAAAAAGATCCTCAGCCCCGTGTGTGCAACGTCGTTGCTGAATGAAATGGAATTAATCGTTGTATAAAGAAGAAAGGACAAGATCTACTAGGCACTGAATAGACCCCCCCCCAAAAAAGGCAAAAGGATAATTGTTGAGTTCACCTGTGAAACAGCACAGCCCAGAATTGCAGAAAAGTGATCACAAGAATCTGAACTGCCAACAAATTTTGACTTTGGAATTTCAGAGGCTAAACTATGTAGATGTGTGTGTGGAGGGGAGGTTGGGGATGGGAGAAAGACACAAAAGGAAACTAAGTATTTCACTTCACGAAAAAGGAAAGAAAAAGTATGCGAGTTTCAAAATGCTGGTGTAATTTTCTTTGGCCTGAAAATCTCTCAATCTTTCAACCAAACGTGTAACCTAATAAATTTTTTTTTATTATTATTTTGAGTGGCCAGGTGGCAGTCAAATGAGTTTAAGCAATCACTTGGTTCCCTGTTTGTTCTCCTACTAAATGCATTCGAATTCCAAGTCCCGAACAAATCTTGCACCAGTTCGGTTCTCAGGGGCCCTCGACTCCTGGAAATATTTGCTTTAGGTTCAAGCTCTGTTGGGAGAGCCAAAAAGGAGGAAGGAGAGGTGAAAAGGAAAAGACAGAGGGAAGGAGTTTCTGAGGAAGAGATTAACACAGAAAACAGGAAACAGAGTTGGAATAGAATTAACCCTCAAAAGGAAAGCAGGAAGGAAGAAAAGGAGTGTTCTCAGATCAGAAGGGAGTGTCCTGCATATAAAAAAGCGCTGAGAATGGTGAACTTGTCTGAATTAGATTTTTTTTTCTGAGTATACCTCCAAACACAGAGCACTAAAGTTTAGATTTTTAGTTGGTTTTCATAGAGGCATTATCATTGGAATAAGGATATTAACTTTTCATAGAAACTCTACCGAATGAGGACATCCATTCATATTAAAACATGAGTGTGCTTGTTTCCTATTTGTTTATTTAAAAAATCAGTCATTTGGGGTGTGGATGTGTATGTGTTTACTAGACACTCTTATTAGATCATTAACATTGTCCATGAGCAAGTCTTTGCTAAGTCATGTTCAATTGCAGGTACAGGAAGAAAATACAATCTGTGCCCACCAGTGTAGTGAAGAGCAGTCTGTCCTTTTCTAAACTGACCTTCATGAAAAAGGAAGAGTCGTTTCCTTTCAAGAAATACACATTCTTATTAAAGTCATTACATCCTGAGGAGAGATTCTCATTTTTCGGCATCATAAATGTAGAAAATGCCCCAAAAACGGGTTGACTAAATAGTGACCCAAAGGCACTTCCTCGAAACAGAAGAACAGGAGAAAACCTCTCTGGTTAATGCCTTTTCATATTGTTTGCTTTGGGTGGCAGAAATGTATCCAGAGATCAGTGAAGGGTTGAAAGCATAGATTCTAAATTATTTGTTTATCCTTCAATGGAGAAAGTGTTTTAGAGCCTTTAAACTCAAAAGGGAATGTAAAAGCTGCCTCAAGCCTGCACGTTTGGAGGCTGGTGTCGGTGATGGTGGTGGGTATGCCTGTTGTTGGCAGCAGCTGGTGCTGGGCACCTATCTTTCCTCTTACTCTGGAGACATCAGCGCTGGACGGTAGAGAAAGGACAGGGCTGAAACCAAGATGATGGGACTGCACCCTTTGGTAGGCACAGAGAATAGTGGGCATGCGGCAGCTATTCCTGTTGCCGTGGAGGCTACCACCCCACCCCCAACCCCAGGAAACACAGGAAAAGTAACTCATGAAATTGACTACAGGTCTTCAACGCGGTAGCAGAAAAGAGAACCCTGCTCCAAGTTATTTGGCTGGAGCCATGTGTTTCTTGGTAGATCTCACGGACTTGTCAGAATTCCCTAGACTTTTCCTCAAATTTGTAGATGAAAACCCCTCACCCTGATTATCACAAAGGAAATCAGAGTCTTTTTCTGTCTCTGACTGTGGGACAGGTGTGAGCACTGGGCCTGAGGTCACCACAGCACACCACCTAGGAGCCGGTACCTGGCCAAGTGTTTCCACCAGAAAGATGAGTCTGAAACACACACTTTCCAGGAGCTGTGAATAAAGCTGTGACCTCAGGAGACGATGAAGAAATAGCGTTTTATTTCTTTACAAATTTATAGCCAAGACAATAAATCACTCCATAGAAAAATTTAAAACAAGATACATTGTTGTGACCTTCATAACAGATGGAGTCGTTATTACAATGGTGAAAACTGCCTGCTGGGATGTTGGGTTGCAGCATTTTGTCAGGCTTGATGAATGAAAAAGAAAGTCCAACGTTATTAAATGGGCAGCTAACAAAGGTGCCTTGCTCGTAGGCTCAAATTGTTTTTGTGAATAACTAGAGAGATGAGCTAGGAGCTAGGTGTCCCCTAAGTTTGGCTGCCTTTGCAGAATACATGATATAATTCATAGGCTGTTTGTTTGTTTGTTTGAGGATTTATTTATTTGGATCCAAGAGTACACAATAACCTTTTTATCTTGATAACTTCAACCTAGATCCAGGTCATCACCTCTAATATTCTTAAAGATGCTGCTGTGTGACAGTGGCTGTAATTGCATGTCATTAAATGTCTCCTTAAACACTCACCATGATACTGTTGAGCCCCACATCACCCAAAGAAGTCCACGGTACACCCACCCACCCACCTATCCCTCACTCCACCCCACCCTGGCCCCTGCTCTTCATCCGTGAAAAGAGAAATGGTAAAAGTTATGCTTTGAAAATCAGCCTTAGCCCAGTGTTCTAGTTGCCTCACCTGATGTGGCTGTCTAGTCAGATCTGCAGGAACACACAACACATTTTTTGAAACTACAATCATGCATCATTTAATGATGGGGATACGTACTGAGAAATGCATCGTTAGGCAATTTCGTGGTTGTGCATACATCATAGAGTGCACTTACACAAACCTAGATGGTACAGCCTACTACACACCCAGGCTCGATGGTACTAATCTTATGGGACCACAATTGTATATGTGGTTTGTTGTTAACTGAAACAATGTTACGCACCGCAGGACTGTATATGAAAGTTTTCCTTGTGAGAAGCGTTATTGTTAGGTAGGGAGATAGAAGAGTTGATTGAATCAGATTGAAATCTTAGGTTAACTGTTGTTTATTCCCATGAGGCTCTGGGAAATTCCCTATCCTCTCTGTACTTCCATTTTCTCATCTTTGAAGGCAGAAGAATTGTATTTCTTTTCCCTTGTTGAGTCCTAAGGATGCTCTGAAGACAAATGAGAGAGTGGCTGATTCCCCAGGAATGGAAGCTAGTAAGAAGCACAGAAGGGAGACTGGAGCATTCTTAAGGGTCCTTACACTGAGAAAGAAAATAAATGGATTAGTTTTGTTGTGGTAATGAATTTACCACCTAGAGCTCCTGCCAAGGTGGGCCAGCTGCTCCCTGTGGCTGGACTGGGTCTCACAGGTGTAAGTGGGTCCTGGCCAGCTGAGCTGAACACAGTCACCTCTTGACAGTCATGGGCCTATGTCCGTCTGATAGAATCCTTTCTCTAAGTTCTTCCCTTTCCAGAGGTGGACAATTTGACCCCCGGTTATTGATGAAAACAGCCAGAGCACTCTACAAGAAAGGCGCTGTAAGAGGTCCTAAGAACTATCACACTATGGTATTATTACATGCTACGCTATTCCTAGTTTCAGAAGCAGTAGAAGAATTTCCTACCTCTAAGATGCTCTGAGAATTGACACACAGGAAAGAACAACACAGCTGGGGAAAATGCTGACCGAGAAAAGCTCGTTTTTCATAGCACATACAAAAATCAATCCCCATTTTTCATTCTAAGCATTTCAGTGACTAGTAGACTTTTGGAACTGGAATTTACTTGTCAAATGGCGCATCAATGTATACCATATTAACTTTAGCTGAGCTAACCAGTTTTAGGAAAATACTTTGCTATGGCCTGAAGCTAAGCATTCCAGAAGCAGGAACAGTGATTAGACTAGTTCCAGGGCCAGGGGATAAGTTTAAAGATGAAATGTGAGATCTTTCATGAGTTGTGGCCAAAAAAAAGATATCCTAGGTTTAATACATGCATAACATGGATATGAAAAGTCATTTACTTCTGCTTCTGTTGTAGAAATAATTTTGCAATGTAAGGGAGATACTATTTTAGAAACAACTAAAACCAGTCATGTTCTTCAAATAATTCATCTTTCTCCACTCATGGAAATAAGGCACTCAATATGGTGCCTTCTGAGGAAATTTTAATGAAAAGTCAATGAAATGCCTGAAGCTTTCTTTGTTTGCAGATCTATCGCTAACCATTTACTAAATAAGCAGTTGAACATTGAACATTTCCATTCTAGAAATTCAAAAGAAAATCTTTAAAATTAGGATAAGTAAATTTCTAAAATAAGGAAACACCGTACCTGGATGAGACCAAGAGGGAGCCACCATCCCTCACAGACTCACCTGGGAGGCCCAGCTCTTGGGTCCTAAGCAACCACCAGACTATTAGTCAGTCGTCAGAATTGAACGTTGTGTCGAGTTTGCTTGAGAACATGCAAATCCACCTAGACCCTCAGGAAAACAAGTCAGAACTATGCGAAATCCTGCTGTGGTTAAGCAAGAAGCTAATAAATGTGAACACAGTCCTTGGCATGTAAGTAATTCTGATTACTACCTTACCTTGAGAAGTGCGACAAAGAATGTCAAAAATTTAATTTGGACGTTGGGAATTTTTGCCACTAAAATGCATATACCAGTGTCATGATGTAGAATACCACAAGTGCTTAGTGGTTGGGACACAATTATACAAATCCTTTCATGTTATCTATGATAAAGAAAATTCCTTTCTCTAACCATTTTTGTCACCCATGTTGTTCACTCATTTTTCAATCAATGTGTTTCATAGAGGCACTAACGATTGATTCCAGCCCCCTCCCAAAATATTTTGAATGTACCAAATCTGGAATTTTGTTGACTATGTCAAATTGCTTTTTCTACTTCACATTCTCTTAAGTTGATAGCTATCTGTAGGAAAAGGAAATCGCATTTGGAAAGAACAACCAATTCGAGGAAATAGAAGGAAGGGGAAGTGTGTTTTTTATGTGTGTTCCTTTTTTATGTGTGGTGTTTTTGTTTTTTTTAATTTTAAAGTTGTCTTTACTGCTGTTTTAGAAGTCATTTTGCCATGTGAGGGTCTTTTAACCTGTCGTGTAATGACAGGTAGACGGAGAGAAATTTCTTCTCTTTGTGACACCATTTAATTCATATATTTTCTTTTCTTTTACATATATCATTAATAAAACTGTCTCTCAGCAAACCAAAATATTTTAAATAACCAAAGAGGAAGTTTTTAATTAGATAGAAAGTAAAAAGAGAAGTGGGCGAAGTAATGAGAGAGGTGGTTGGATCCAGGGCCTCATAAAAGATGACCATTTTGGGGCATCAGAGCCATCCTTGATTATGGCAGGAAATCCTGAGGATGAGGTTTGATAAGTGAAAGATACATAAGTGATAGTGTGTGTATTTTTAGCACTTGAATGAGCCACCCAATATGCAGGTGTGCCCCTACTTTAAGAAAATCATGTGAACAAAAATCCAAAATTATAAGCACAAAAATTTTGTAGTTATTTTGATCATAAAATGCATCCTTATTTAATAGAACTTACCATTCAATTCCTTTAAAGAGCAGACACTTTAAAAACATGATTCAATTCAGAAAAAAGAAGAAAAATCTATTTTTGAACACCATTTTAGAAGGCCATCTCTAAGAATCAGCCACATTCTGCTCTCATTGACATTTCAACCAGACTGGGCCATGGGACATTTGCTCAAGGCTAATTGCAACTGTCTAGATCCATAACGAAGCCTTTCCTGGGTAACCTTTATGAATTACAGTAAGTACAGCTCCCCTCTGAGCAACTGGCTATTCAATAAACTTTTACCTTTGGAAGGTAGGTTATTAGAAGCCTATTGTCAGTGCATTGATGTATTCTATTCTAGACGGAAAGCTTTAGTGACGTGGTGATGGCAAGTAATACCCTTTGTGATTTCAGGTTCTTGTCACTGTGGCAAGTGCATTTGTTCTGCCGAAGAATGGTATATTTCTGGAGAATTCTGTGACTGTGATGACAGGGACTGCGACAAACATGATGGTCTCATTTGCACAGGTACAGTATTGATCTACTCTAATTGTTCTATGCCTCAGTTTGCAGTAAGGACAAATGGCACACACTACATACTGCTGTAGATGGCTGGACAGGAGAGCGTACACGTAATCAAGGGCCAACTATTAATATGAAGTAACTACATGAGGGGAGGTGGGCAGTTGGGAATAAGCACCAACATTATGTTCAGGCTAGAAGATACAAAAGAATGAGGCCAAATTATATGATTGTTGGGAAATTTCCACAAAGTAACCCCCCTCCCAACTTACACACATGCAGTTAATATTTGAAAAAGAAAATAATTCTCTTGACAACCGTTTTACTTTGAACATGGTGCAGGGAATGGAATATTATTTTAAACAGGGTCCAGGTGCCACTAGTTCAAAGATGGTTGATACTTGGTCATTTTTAGTGATGGGGTATGTGTGTGTTGAGGGGAATGGGGTTATGAAAAAGACTTACTGTAATAGACACTGCTGTCCTGTTTTGAGTCCTGATAATTGGTTACAAAATACATTTGCTTAAACAAGTTACAGGGGAAATAAAGACATGTATTTGCCCTCCTTGTTTCTAGCTGGAGGTAAACGATGAATATTTGTGTGCATCATTAAGCTAGACACTCACCCTCTGTTCATCCGTACTACACAAGGTTCCTCTTCTAGCTGATTACTTAGCCTACCTCTTACTATGTCGAGGAGTTTTATGTTTCTTAGCATTTATTCGTAAGTCAGACACAACTTTCCCTCTACAGGAAAACAAAATTATGACATGGAAGCCCAGCTGGAGTGATACAAGATGGTCACTATTAGATTGACACTACGTAGATGGTGGCACCAAATAGATGCCATTAATTTCCTATAGCTACTTAATAAGCTAATAAGAAGATGGCTGCAAAATAAGAAAATCCGCAGAGGATGAATGAAATGATTTTGATTATGAACAGTTAGGATTTATAATAACATATTTTAACTTGGTGCATTTTGATGATAATGATTCCCCTGTGTATTTTATTGCAGGGAATGGAATATGTAGCTGTGGAAACTGTGAATGCTGGGATGGATGGAATGGAAATGCATGTGAAATCTGGCTTGGCACAGAATATCCTTAACAATTACATGGGAGAGGACTGGATTCTTATTTTTCTAGGCCATTAGAACATGTAAATGCAAAGGAAACCATGTATAATCACCACCAGGACAGGTCAAATAGACTATTTTATGTTTTTCTATTTCTGAATGCCTGAATGAATTCTGGATACCCATTAAAAATACGTTAAGCAAACTGATGTAAATAACGCCAGAAATAATTTCTCTTCCATAATTTTGTCAGTGGTTCTCAACGAGGGCAACTTTGCCACCCAGAAAACATTTGGCAATGTCTGCAGACAATTTTGATTGTCACACTGGGTGGGGTGGAAGGGTGTGCTATGGCATCTAGTAGGTAGAGGCCAGGGATGCTGCTAAACATCCTACAGTGCACAGGACAGCCCCCCGACAAAGAATTATCTAACTCCAAATGTCAATAGTGCCGGAGTGGAGTTGAGAAACACTGAATTACATTGTTGTTAGAAATGCACATCCCTACACAAGAAAGACCATATTTGAATCTAAGAAAAAGACATATCCACACATAAGTCCATCTGTCATCATATTTTTCCAGGATTCCAGACCTCTCAGCATTTCCCTATGGTGACAATGAAGACAAACACACATGAAGTATAACGTCGTGGGGGCCAGAGGACAGAAGACCAGTGCTTTTGAAAAAAAGACTGGTCATTTTTAGCTATTAAGTCATTTGTCTAGTCTCACTTTAAGCTCACAAAATAAGATTCTCGTAAGATGAAGGAAGAAACTATGAAAAATGTACAATTTAACAATTTTTAATAAATAGTGACATGAGTTTATACTCTGTGTCAATATATATTTATATTGATGACCTACTGATGATTAACAAAAAGAATGAATTTTTATTCAGGGGTATCCATTTTCTGTTACTAGAACATTTTTTAAACTGAGCAGAGGTTACATGTACAAGGAATCTGATTTTTCACTATTTAAATTACTCCATGGTAATTTGCCTTTTAAAAAGACAATATCTAATTAGATATATAATGGGCCTGAAATATGCATTCATTTCCCTTAAAAGATTGTCTTATTTCTAAGGATACATTACTTACAAGACAAGAAGGGTCATGCATGCAAAGAAGTCAAGAAGAGATACTGTGATAAAATGGCACCAGTCTCAAAAGCTCAGAAGATTAAAAAAAAAAGTCTAGAAATGGTTTAAATAGAAATTACAAATATTCACTCAGTGATAGGAACAAAATGTTTATTTTCTTAATGGTGAAATTTTGCTCTGTATGAAATTCACATTGAATTATGAAAATGTACAATAATTCAGACTTCCCTTACATATTTACAGTTAAATCTACTTACACACATTAGTTTAGGCAACCATTAATTATTTAGAGCTAAAAAAGATCCACTTTTTTTCTAAATGTGAATTATATTTTGTAAAATCCTAGAATAATGTAACAAAATCATTTCCATATTGTTTAAGATGAAAATTTTTACTTGGAAATTTTACTTAATGATGTAAATATTCTAGAGTTATGGCTTGGACTTTATAAGTCAAATCACCAAAAATAAAGAAAATGTGTATCGGCTGAGTTACTTAAAAATTTAATACTGAAAATTATTTGAGAAAATTTAACTAATGCTGATTTTTATATACTAATAGTGTTCTCATACTTTAGTGGAATTATAAAATTATTATCTCTATCCTGAGATTGAGTGCAACCATTTTAGTTGTATCTGTGTTATTAAGTCTGTCAATTAATATATCCATTTTGTAAAAGGAGGGAAATATAAGCAATTAAGAAATAATATAGATTATATTCTTTCCTCTTCTCTACCTAAGCATTTTAAGCCTCAAACAAACCTGTTATAATTGTTCAGTAGCAGTTTTGATGACTTATTTGATGATGCACAAACATGGAAATTCATTACATTATCTAGCCATCATAATACAGATGGCAGTCAAGCCCATCTATTGCAGAGCTCTGCTTTCTATAAAAGACCTGATAGTAAGTATTTGAGACTTTGTGGGCCACATACATCTCTGTTGCATATTCTTCTTTGTTTATTTGTTTGTGTTTAATACTTTAAAACTGTAAAAAAGAAAATAAAATTCTTTCTGAGCTCCTGTGCCATACAAAAATAGATGGCGAGCTAGATTTGGCTCACAACTGAGCAGTAGGTTGCCAACCTCTGTTCTGGAACCCCCCTATGTCCCATCACATAACCGTAGATGTGTCTTATTTTTCTTATAATTCTCTATATTTATCCCTTTTCATTAATAACAACTACAACAAAAGTGCTTCTCTTTTTATATTTTCGTATAAGAAACATGTCCTCAGCATGTATGTTTTTTACAAAAAAGTTTAGATATGGAGAAATTGTTATATTATAAAGTTCAAAATGTGATTTGTCAAATTTTTTGACAAAGCTGAAAATATGTTACAGTCAGCTCTTTTCTGGGTTCATTTAACTAGAAATTATTGAAGCGAAATTGAGTTATAGCGTAAATCACATGGTATTAAACTCTAAGGAATGTTTTTCTTTTAAAACAGAAATATCTTCTTTTTACTTCTTTCTGCCTGCTGTAATATTTCCTTTGTGTGTGTGTGTGTCTGTTTGATTTTGACTCTAGCAACACAAAATCAATAGATCTATTAAGAAGTGATTTAATTTACATGTTTAAGTTGGACAAAATAAAATAAACATAGTTACATGTAAAGACATAAATTCTACCCTTCTTTAATGTGATTTTGCGCTTTGACTTTTGATTCCATTACTAAGATAGACACTCCCTCAAAAAATGTGCAGGGCAAGAACAAACTTGTGATAGGTGGAGGAAAATGTGCAAACCTCCTTGGCTTGTTCAATGTTGTAGGAAGTTATGGTGGGTAATGTCAATTGGGAAGGACGCAGCAAGTTTGCGGGTAGTGTTGGCACTAACCCTGCTTGGTCGGCAAATCATCGCTGAGGAATTTCCCACAAGGACTTTTCAATAAAATTCGACTAAGGGCCTATGACCCAAGAGGAGAATCATCATACCCCATTTTCTCCCTGGACCCCTTGAGCTAATCTAGATTCCTGCAGTCCATTGAAAGGAATGGCCCCACCCCCTCAAATGTCAACACACTCTCTGCCAGCAAACATTGGGATTAGACTAAATGATATAGAAAATCAAGAAAAAAACAGAAAAAAAACATAACTCAGCCTTTGTTTGCAGACTCAAAACTTGGAAACCATACCCAGTATTCAAGAGAGTCAACAGGTCCTGTGCGTCATCTGGTAAGCTAAGAAACCTAAGCTATGAAATGCATTTTACTCCAAAGTAACACAGTTCACATCTGGATTTTGATATGCCTGCATTTAGCTCAATTGCTGTCCCCGGATATAGTCTTGTTCTGAAATAAAATTAAAAATAATTTTCAATTATTTTCACTTCCTTCTAAAGTGGATTTCTTAGTCACTCTGGTCTCTTTTTCAAATGTTAATTCTCCCTCTAATATTATGGATCACACACGTCTAACTTAAAGAACAAGAAGTTTTTTTGTTGTTTTGTTTTGTTTTTTAACAGAGAACCAAATCTGATACTGCTCATCCCGAAAACATCTGACTGTTTTATCACTTTTGGCATTAAATAAGCAACTGGCCAGGTGTCATAAAGAAACTCTGCTTCCTCTCCAAGAGGCAAATAATTAGAAGGCCTGCAGCACGAGTCCTGTGGGCCCATTGTGGGGCCCCGGAAGCCACTCCCTACTCCAAAACACTCAGGGCAAGCAAACGGAGCAAGAATCTCTCCATTCTCCAGGATTTGTAATGAAATGATTCTCAGTACCATTTTACTCTTTAGGTAGGGTGGACCATTTGCATCTCTTCTATAATTTTTCCAAGTAAATTTGTAGCAAAACATTTCAGAAAGCAAACTTACAGGAAAATAAAAGTGGTGTCACTCGAGGTATCGAAACAATAACCATTCCCGAGCACTGTTGAGGGATGTACGAAGCAATCAGCTACCATAACAAATCAGTAGAAATACCCCTCCCACACCAGATATGCATGCAAAAGGAATGTGATATTAGAGAGACTTCATACAATCGACATATGTACATGGAGGTACAAAACACACAGTCTGTAAATACAAATGAATTCCATCAGATTTACTATACAGAACATCAGTAATGACAGATTGCACTTACTTAATAACAGCAAACTTAATTTTTGAGGGGAAAAAATGGTGGAGTCTTATCCTGGAAAAATAGCAAGAGAGGTATTATCAAAGAGCTAAAATTTTCTTTGGCATGGTAAAGGGGGAAATTGAGTTTACCAACTTATTTACATGACATTTCTCTATATTTGTGGGTAATGCAATGCCATTTCATTACATAAAGTTGTTTGATGTTTTCTAAGATGCCTTCATATAAATATTTTATTCAATATGTTGTATTTGTGAATACAACAAATGATATTAAACACAGAAACTGTACAATGCAGACAAACTCTTGTATGTAAATTGAGTAATACATCCCAACAGTTCTTGATACACTGGTCCTACTACATGCAGGTCTTCAGTGCTGTCCTCGTCCCATGCAACAGGGGAGACCAGACACAAAGGAAACGATTGAACTAATTTACAAGTAACAAGGACCCCTCTGCAATATGTCTAAACATATATTAGAAGAGGGATAAATGCCCTTATAGACAACTCATATAAAAAACAAAACAGAGGTGCATGGTTACATAAATCTCAGTCTTTTACAAAAATAAATCTTGTCTTAATTTTAACAAACACACAAGTTTGCAGGAGAAAAAGAAACCAGCAAGTAGGTAGGGCTGATTACCAAAAACAAATAGGCGGGGTTGTTTGGGATGTCTGTGTGTGTGTGTGTGTGTCTGTGTGTGTGTGGTGGGGTAAGCAGTGTCTGTAAGCCCATCTAATTGGAATTTCAAGTTAAATTATTCATAGTTTGCCACGTATTTTGGAATATATGTCTTTCTTAAATAATTGGTTAATGAAATTCATCTAATGTATTTTAACTTATCCTTTTAAAAACAATAGGCTCTAAAATGGCATAACCAGAAATCAGAATGGTCAAAGGAATAATTTTTTTGTATTTGTACTATAGCATTATCAGCAATAAATCTACTCAAACATTAGGCTAACTTTTTATTTATTAAAATGGAATCTGATATGAAAACGAAATAAGCATAAACAGTTAAA